TAACATCAGGTTTTGCTTTGTTACTTGTGGAACCATTTTTTAAGAGATGTCTTTATACTTTATTTAGACATAATGGATGATACTTTTGGGTTTTTAAATTTTTTCTTTGACACTTATGTTATGCTGCAGTGTCATCAGTTTTTGTTTTTGTTTCTATATAAAATCAGTAAAATTTTAGGCTTCTTATGGTATTTCAATGCTATTCTTTATTACTTTTATTACATTATTTCACTTTTATTTGTTTATATTTTATTAACAAACCTTTAAAAATATTAAAACTATTCTTAGTTTACCAGCCATAAGCACAGGCCACTTTGCCCATCGGTTTGTCAACCGATGCCATACTATATTCATGCTTTACTTTAAAAACAACACTGACATTATTTCAAATAAATTATTGTTTCCACAAAAATATGTTCATGTTTCAATAAATTAGGGTGCAGTAGCAAAAATAGAGCATAAGGTTGAATGACATTTTAAGTAAAGGCACACTTGTAAGCACTTATTTCCCCCCTAATCCCAATCATTGGCCCCTAAAGGAACAGACTGTGTGCAAGGAGGGCCATGCCAATTACAGCCTTTTTCCATTTGTGTGTGTTTCCATTTTGAGAAGTGTGGTCGAATTTTCTCTTTGGGATGATATCACCAGCTATAGTGGAACAGATCATTTGATGCAAAACCTGTTTGTAACTAAGATTCGTTCTTCACAGTTAGGCATACGTTTACTCCTGGTAACTGGATATTTTGACTCTTTGTAGCAGTGTGAAAAATCTAAGTGTTCCATATCGAATAAACAATGTTAGAAACAATATCAGGGTCTTGAGAATAATGCACTTTATTTTCATGCAGAAAAGTATCACAGTTAGGAACCTAGGAATGAAGCTGGGCAGGGTCAGAGTTGATTGTTTAAATGCTAAATACTACAGATCTATACCTTCATGAAATCTCCTAAATAATTTCTTCCTCTGTGCTTCCATTGTAAGTACACAAGTTTGGACCTGTATTTTCCTATACCCAATTTGAATAAATATGTATTGTTATTTAAATATATTTTATACATATTAAATATTTATAAAATATCAGAATTTCTTTCTAGGAAAAATGAGACATCCTTTCCTGCTCTACTAATATTAGGTTGTGCTATGTGACTTATGGAACCATCTGTCTAGTTGGACATTGTATGTTCTTGACTTATTAACTGAGGAGTAGCCAAATGAATTGCTTTGGCTAATGGAAATAAAAATATGGTTAGATAATAAATGCATCACTTCTAGGTAACAAAGGTAGCAGCAACAAACTAGGTTTTATTTTGTTTTCTTGCTCACTGAAAACATTGCAGTCAAAAGATCAGTAAAGTTCTATATAAAAGCTGCTTCATCAGCCTCCATTGTGGAGCAAAGAGGGCCAACATTTTGAATGTGAAATTTGGCAACAAAAACCTAGCTGGCCTATCCTATAATTTGGTTCTTAAAAGTGAGTGTGCCACAACAAACACCCAGGATATAAAAAACATTAGCTTCAAGAGTGTAGAGGGTGTTGAGGAAATAGTTACTGAATGTTTTACGAATGGAAAACCATGATAGGCAGGGATGGATCATTTAGCAAATCTTCTGTGTGCAATGACTTACATCAGAAACTATGTACAAAAGGACCTCACAGATCTTGGCATCAGTCTTGGCCATGTGATTAGTATGAAGGCTTATAGATGCCTACTCTGATTAGCCCAGGAGCAGTCATATGACTTGGTTTGGCAAATGAAACATAGGCAGAAGGGCCCTGTGCACTTCTGGAAGAAGCAGTAAGAGCTGGTTTGTTGTGCCTTGCTTTTCACTCTGTCAGAGAGCAATGATGTCCCAGACAGAGCCTGCTTTATCCTTCTGAGTGGAATGACAGTGATGAAGAAGAGTTGAAATTGATCAACAATGGACACAGGATGAGTAAAATGTAAGCCTTTTAGTTATAGATCACTGAGTTCTGAGATTGAGCATGTGTGCAAATATAACCTAGCTATCTTTACTGATTAAATAAGCAAAGTACTTGAACAGTGCCTGGCTCATTGTGTGCTACTCAAGTATTAGATATTATTATTACATAAGGATGGTGATACAAGATTTCATATGTAAGAAAGGAGGATTATGCTAATGGTGAAATATGAGTCAGATAAAAGGGTGATTTGGAAGGGAAAAAAATGCTCTTGTGAGAAGACAGCTGAGACCTTATATTTGAGTAAAACACAAAGACCTATTTGAAAGGATTGGCTCATTTTTAGAGTGATGAAAGTAGATTACAATTTCAGACAGACAAAGATGGAGAACGCTGTTGGACTTAACTCATGGTAAGAATTTCAATATTGGGGAAATTGGCAACATATCCATGGGTGTGCTGGCAAAAGTTTAACAGCCAGCTCTGGAGTTGGGATATTTGATTTTTCCCATTTGTCCATCTCTGTGACATAAATGCACCCACTATGGACGGTTTCAACCTATCAATGACACATCACTGCACATGGAGTTGGAGAGCGATGCATACAACAGGCTCTTGTGATCTCAAGTGCACAGTCTGGCTCCCTCACACCATCCTAACTGGTTTCCCTGGCAGCAGATCAGAAAGATACAGGAATATGCTGGGGGAGGGGGGGGGGGGAATCTCACCTAATGCTAACTCCAGTCAGCAGAAGACTTTTGTAAAAGAGGAGCTTTGGGTAGCACTGTCCTCTTCTGAACACCATCAACCTAGCAGCCAGGCAAAACAGCCTTACTACAAGGAGGAAAATTACCACCTACCAAACAACTTTCATATAAAATGCAAAGAAAACGCTTAAGAGGGGGAGGGGAGAAACAAAGATTGTTATCTAGAAAGAAACCACTTTGATCTCAATCAAAACCGATTATTTTGGAGTCAGTCTGCTCTTTGAAAACATTTTCCCACAATTCTGTTTTCCTAAATAGAGCAGTGAGTCATCACAGGGTAGTGGACCTACCTGTGAAAATAAATTGGGAGGTAGCTAAGAAGACCTCTAATGCTTCTGTTATGGGAAGTCTTTGGGAGAATAATCTCATGGAAGCTTCTGGATTTTTAGGTCTCAGGTTTAAATTCAATCTCAGTAGACCATGAGCAGAAGTGGATGGCTAGTGGCCTATGAAAGACGCTTTGATTGTGTCATCACAGTTCTTTCTATAGAGATGCCACTGCGATTGGCACCCTTTTTTTTTGCTTCTATCAGAAGCACAAAGGGTGAATAGAAATGTCATTTCAACCATTTTCTCAGCTTTTGTACTGGAGGAATTTGAGATATGAAAAAGGCCAGCTCCTTTCACCTTTAACTCTCAAGTGGAATTATTCTCCAATAATATGATTCCAAAATCTCTCTGGAATGTATTGCAATGAAATCTGAGCTATCTCACAAGTAAAATTATGTAGTACCTTATACAAAGTTAACTAGCATACAGGCACATTCTTAAGGTGTATTTCAATGTAAGACATTTCAAATTTCTTGGCCTGATTCTAACAAATCTAACACTTATTATTCTTTACTTCTTGTTTAAATAAATAGATCTTCATATATGCAAATAAAAGAAACACACTTGTCTTAATATTTGGTTTTGGATATTTTAACATTTTAATGACATAATTAGCTGTTTTCTTTCCCTGAAGAAACTGCGGTTGTTTTTTTCCCCTTTCTTTTATTTTAGCCATTAAAACCCTCCAAATTTCCATATTACTAATAAGTCTACTTCCATATAATTTTGTTTTACACATGTTTTAATAGTGAATGAATACCCAAAGCAAGAAAACCCTATCTTGTTACTAGAGAAAAGAGACAAAATAGGTACTAGAACAGAGACACAGAGAAGTCTTTGATAATGCCAACCAAATTTTTAGCAGCCTCAAAAATAAGTGGGTTATAATGGAATGAGCCTTATTTTGGAAATGATGAGAATTCAATCAACTCTTCTTCAGTGTCAATGACTCTCTATGGAGTTCACTTTCCACATCTGGATAATGAGGTTGCTGTGTTTCATTATTTTTACATTCTTTCCAATACAAACATCCTTTAGAACCTTCACTTTTCCATCATCAGTGAAATGATGTTAATATTCAAATGGTATTTAAACAATTTATAGCTATGCCTCTGTCAACTTATCTGATGGTAATCATTGATTCTGGGATTTTCCTAAATCATCATCCTATCGAAAACTCTCCTAAGGTCCGCTTCCTGAATCCTCATGTCAGCAACTCCCATCATTTCCACATAACTCCAGAGGAAGATAAATTATCTGTCCTATGAACATTCATAGGTAAAGCAGTATGTCATGTCATGGCCCCTATGGCTTTTACAAGTGAGTTACCAACACCATATGTAGTCCAACTGAAGCTATCAATTCAGTTGAAGACACAGCCTTCTCTGGCCAAATATGCTTTAATTAGGAAGACACACAAAGTGAAAACCAAATTATCATCCTGCAAGTAATCCATAGGCCCATGAATCAGAAGCTGCAAATAAAAATATCAGCTAAACCTTCCCCCTTCATCTAAATAAACCAAGACACAGCAATTACATGATTTGCCCATGGCCATAGAATGAAGTGTGCCTCAGAATTGGGACTGCCTACCATCAGCCTGTGCATGTAAAGTTATTCTCTCCATATAACACTGCAGCAAAAATGAATCCTGCTAGGGCAGAGAAAGCCAAGACAGAAAATAACAGTCAGCTGCAGACTCTTTGGATGCAACGTACAAAATATTCAAGTGCCTGTTTCCACTCCCTTCATTCTCTCTTGTAATGATTGCAGCTAATCCCTGCCAGCTCACATTAGTTCCTCAATTGTGGCAATCAATAGCATAGATTAGCTGTGGAAACCCTCCATCTACAGTACCCCTGCTTTCCTTTCCAGATGGAATTTTCATTGACTCAAGTGTATGCAGACATGCGAGCTCTTACCCCGGCAGGCGCAAATATAAGCCCATTAGTCTTCAAGGTTGTCGCTTCAAGAACATACCTGTAGATTTAATAAAACAGCACCAATCCTCATGGCTTCACTGACTTCTAGGCTGTACATCATCTGTGGGAAGCGGGGAGGGCTTTGATTGTTTGGAGGAAGCACTTCAATGTACACGGTGCAGATGGAGTGCCTGCAGAGAAAGCAAAGCCAGCGAGATGGGTAAAATCCTACACATTTAATGACAGACTACATCTGGTATTATTCTGTTGTTGGGTTTACGAGAGAGAAAATTGGGAATTTTTTTTAGAAAATAAAGATATAATTCAGAATCAAAGGGCATGATAATAAAAGCTATCACCAAAATGTAAAGTTTTTTTTTTAATGAAATTATCTTAAGATGAAAGGTAATGCCTCACGTACTGTTCCATCCCCCCTACTTATATTGATAGTGTGAATTAAAATGAAATAGTGGCCCAAAGGAGGCCAATAAATGATATTGCTTTAACCTCTGACATTATTTTGTAATGCCTCTTTAATAGCAAAAACACATTCTGTAAATATCTCCTAATATGAGTTGTCCTTGGGGCTCACTTCCTATTAAACCAGGAAAGGATGTATTGATTAAAATAACACACAAAACAAAATAGGGGCTGAGTTTTTATTAGTTTGGTTGCTAACATCAATGGCTTAATGTAAATGCTTGTCAAAATTCAGGACCATACAGTGATCGTTGTAGAAAAAAGTTGCAAACACAATAACATTTTACATCTTTAAGGAGTATAATATGAACAGTTAAAAATTATATTTCATTAAAATGTTCCATTGGTGAGGAATTTTTGGAGGATAAGAAGATAATCTATTATTAGAACAAAAATATTAAATTGACAGGATCAATACTTTTGACAGCACTGAGATTTCTTAACACAGTAAAAGCTAAAGAAGCAAGTTGTTCAAGGTCTGTTCAGATGAAACACTGGCTAAAGTGTATTAATGAGACATGGCAATTTACAAAACTAGTCTCCTATGTTGAAGAACAGGACTGCTTGAGTTGTTTTAAACTTATTGTAACAATAACATGAATTGTTATTCAAAACACATATAATTTTTATTTTGGAGTCTAGAATTTTTAAAAATCAGATCAAAGCTCTTTTTATTAAATGCTTCAATTAAAAGATATGGTCACCAGAACATTTCCCCCCCAAGATTATTATAATAAAACTAGAGGCCTGGTTTAGGCCCAATCCCTGCAGTTGGACATGCGGCAGTAGGACATCCCTCTCTCAATCTGGAACCGCTTGCCCCTAATCACTCTCCTGCCTGCTGCTTGCCCCTAACCACTCGCCTGTCTGCTCGCTCCTAACTACTCACTTGCCTGCATGTTCAGTGTGCATCATAGCGACCGGTCATTTTGGTTGCTCCAATCATTGCACACCAATGTTTGCTTGGGCTTTTCTATAGAGATAGTCTACTTTTTGACAAGCTTTTAGGTCATAGGCACTAAATATGTTTTTTATAGCTTGTCAAAGTATATTATGTATAAATCTAAATAGTTTCTACATACCTATAGAATATTAAACATTTTCCAAAAACTGCAGTGACTTTAAAAAAAATACTGTACTTATGTTTACTGCAATATAAAGCAATCACATTTTAAATTAAAATTAAAATCTTTTAGATTTTTATAATTAGTTAAAATATCTGTATTAAATTTTGCCTCTGATTTTATCATTTTAATCAAATTCTAATTTCATTTCACTTCAAAATATTTTAACAACCAAGCCTTTGAAATGAGAAATAATTCTAGGGTTAGCATAAGGATTATATATATAAGATTATACATTTATATTTGTGTGTTCACTTGTGTATATACATGCATATATTTATATATGTATATATAATACCTGTAAAACATATTTATCAGTTATTATGGATACATTTTCAATACAAGCTTTCAAACTGAACTTTATGGAATGGGGTAAATAAGCTTGCACTTACCTTAGTCATCATAGTTTAGAGGTTTTAATTTCATTCTTTCACTTTTTTAAATTAAATGCCTACAGGCCTGGTATGCCCTCTCCACTCCCCAGAATAAGAGTGTGATGAGTCTTAGGAATTGGACCTTTTGAATGAAAATCATGTGGTGGGGGCGTAAGAATCTACATTTTTCATAGATACACAAGGCTCTCCCCACACACTCAGTTTTGGAAACCAATGCTCCAGAAGCTCTTGACAAGGAAAACAAGCAGGCTCAATAGTTTTTTAAATTAGTAGCCCAAGGTTTTCTTTACAAACTGACCTAAGCTCTCCTCAGTAACCCTAGAGGTGAAAAGATTCCTTTTAGAAATAAAATTAAAAAAAAAAAAAAGTAGAACTCACTTGTACTCCAAATTCAAAGCTTACTTCCTGCTTTAAAACTTTGGCTTACTGATCTGGAATACTTTACAAGAGAATATGAATCTCTATCCACTTTGTGAAAGTATCTCTTTCATTAACCTTACTATACTTTGTATATTTCCTTCTTCCCCCTTTGACAACTTTCCCCATTAGAGGGCTAAACTCTTTACATTATCAATACTAAACAAGGACCTCCAACTCAGATGATGCATGTGACTTGCCATAGAGAGGAAACTAAACAATGCAAAATACAAAGACCTTAGATCCTAGAACAGAGAACCTCTGTGATCCAATAGTACTATCACCTTCATCTGCCTTTCCTCCCTTTCCTCCTGCTCCTTCTTTCCATGATAATTCAAATACAAGAAGAACTCATTACGTTTTTACCCCTTTAGACTTTGATCTTAGAGTTATTTAAGGAAGATCATATTTCCAAGTCTAACATTTTTCAAGGTCTTGCATTTTTCATCTGTGAAATACTGGCACTTCCCTACAATGTGTTTAAATAAGCATTGACCTATTTGAGGGTTCTTGCTTTGTAAAATGCTATCTCCTTTTTTTTAGAATATACATTTTATTGATTTTTTACAGAAAGGAAGAGAGAGGGATAGAGAGTTAGATACATCGATGAGAGAGAATCATCGATCAGCTGCCTCTTGCACAACCCCCACCGGGGATGCGCCCGCAACCAAGGCACATGCCCTTGACCGGAATTGAACCTGGGACCTTTCAGTCCGCAGGCAGATGCTCTATCCACTGAGCCAAACCAGTTTTGGCAGCTATCTCCTTTTTATCTCTAATGTCAGCACAGTGTCAAGAGTTAGCTTTCCTAAAACTAGATAATGATAGGATTTACAATAACATGGTATCAATAATGCATTAATATGCAGTAATAACTCAATAGCATCAGCTAAGTACATATTAAAACAGGGCAGTCACTAGATAAATAACATTTTATGTGACCATTTTATATGTACTTTTTAGAGCTACTATTCAATGCATAAAACTGAGCATCTGTATAATACAAATTTTATTTTTATCATGTAGCCCATAAAATGTGGATGAATATTTCTAAAAATGAAAACTGTAAAGTTTTTCTCTTTCTCATATAGCAATGAAGGTCAAAGTACAACAAGGCACATGATCTACTTTCTTAGATAATCTTAAATTTTTTGAAAGACCTTTGAAACTCATGAATTTAACGCTCTCATTTTATGAGAGAGGATTAGAAAGTAAAAAAGATTAAGTGACTGAATTCAAGTTATAAAGTTAATTAGCAAAAGCAGATAAACTAAAAGGCAAGGCTCCTGAACTCAAAATCTGTCTGTCTTTTCTCTCTGTATTTCACAAGAACAAATTTGGGGAGTAAACTAGAGGCATTTTTACTTATCTGCTGTGTGTTTCTGTGTGAGTATAAAACATCCTTAGTTTATAATGATGGATGTCATCTCAAGTTATTTCAAGACTTAATAATCATTTATATAATGAATGAAGCATCATCCATAGCACTACTGTTTCTAAGACCAAATAAAATATGAATAAAGAAGCAGTTGGGTAGACTAAGATGTTTAGGCCTACGAATGGTTAACTTAAAATGATAAAAAGTCATTTTTTTGATATGACAATAATATTCAGTAATAAAATGCATTAGAGGATTGTAACTTTCTATTATATGTGCCAACATATCCTACAAGATGGTTAGTCATAATTCTACATTTCTATCTTGCTTCTAAAGTGAAGGTTATAGTGTTTATATTGTTTTCTTCAGTAGATTTAAAACAGAGAAATTACCTTCTTTTTTACTTTGTCTACCAGCAAAATTGTGTTAGACGAGCTATATTTTTAGTTCAATGTTAATGGGTTCTATTTTACTATTTTGGAAGTTCAGAGTGGATTCTATAGGAAGCAAAGATTCCATAATAAAATAAACATAAGAGGTTAGAGAGACTTCCCAGGGACTTCTACAGTGACAGAGTCTTAAGATGCAAGATGTACTTAGATATAAGATGCATTGGGCATTATAGAGAGGGAGAAAAATGGAAATTTACAGAGCAATAAAAAAAAAACCTCAAAATTTGTATGACTAAAAATGGGATCAAAATTGGGCAAAGAGAGATGGGTAAGGGACAGGCACTCATGTATTTTACTTATACTTCATTTTGACAACAATGGAAACTGGTTGAAAGGCTTTCAGAAGTTTAATAATATGCTGAGATGTGCCAAGTAATACATAGCTCCCACAACACAGCATAGTTTACCATGTCTCTGTGTCTTTACTTTTAGGTTCCCTCTGCTTAGCAATGCCATTATCATTCCTATCCAATTATCCCGCACTTACAATTATCTACTGTTACATGTCCAGATTTCCTTGTGGCTCTATATGAATGCTTTGAGAGCAGAAATCTTATATTTTCAGTGCCTCCACAAGGGGCTAGGGATTGTGACAACTCAGTAAATTTTTGCTAAAACCACCTTCATTTGTTATTAATATTAAATATATTGTGTGAAGTTATTTTAAAGTATATTCAGAATATATAGAATATAAAAAAATATATGTATATTTATTTGCAAATTGATGATTTAATCTTGTATTAATGAGATATAGCCTTAGATTCCATGAGAAAAATGGGGACTCAAAAAAGTATGCCATGCCATGCATCAATGATTTTATAATACTTTCATTATAAGATATTTGGGAGAGACTCTCTTATATTCTCTATGTCTTCATAAATATTTAATAGTAGTACTTTATTCAAATTAATATTAAAAACATATTTATGTAATTTATTTCAAGTA